ATAATTATCTCATTATGTCTTCATGGGCCAATTTATTATACGCTTACATTAGGTTATACTATTTACGAGGTATGTTTCCAGTTATAACAGATATGTCCGATTTAGTAGATCCATAACCTGTTTTTTTTTTATAGAACGGGGGCAAACGGGCAGGAGGCTCACCTGATGTTAAGTGATACCGCCGCCCATGGACACTCTAAATGCCAGATGGCTCGCGAGTGCGTTGCCGGCCTTTAATTATTTTTTTTGATTCTATTGACTTAGTAAACACACATATACACCTATTTTGATGCCTCTTTCATTATTCATATTTAAAGAGGTTGAGCTATGATATTTCCTAAGTGATTATAGATGCAAGGACCAGGAAAAATAATGTCACTCTAGAAAATCACTATAGATTTCCCTATGTCCTTGTGAATCTATAGTGACCTATTGACATCCTCAATCCTTAAAAGCTTTAGGCTTAAAAGCTTACTAGCCAAAATCACTCATTATAGATTGCATGTTATTTAAGTATGTGATCCTTGAATTAAAAACAATAAATATGCATTGATCCTTCTCTATACTTTCAATGGTTGACGCTAATTAAAAAACACAATACAATATAAATTTATTTTGCCCGTTCTTGCTGAGTTTCTTGCCCGTTCTTCTCAAGGTCATTTACATCAAACGAACAAGAGCAGAACACAGCTAGACTTCAAAAACGCTTTTTAAAGACCCCCCAGTGGCGCGAGCACGTCCGAACACGCAGAACGCTCTAAGCAACTGTTCGCGCGCTCTTGGGCCGTTTACATCAAGCGAACGAGCTTTCTTAGAATATTCTATAGAATCTTTGCGAACGCACTAAGAACAACGAAAGAATGCTCTACGCCTGTTTACATAGAAGTATTCTGATGCAGTGGGGATAGAATGAGCTTCGCGTTTGATGTAAATCGACCTTCAGAACAATGCCTCCTGGTAGTTTTCGCGAACGGATGGCGTATTCTCGCTCTTTCGCGAATTTTGTAACGTTTTTGACATTCATGCATGCCCTAAGACGCATCTAAACTGAATAAACGTATTTTGATTGATTGATTGCCTAATTTTAGTTTTTATTCAATCATGGCGAGTATTATAGAGCCAAAAAATTCATTTAACATTATTTGAAGTATTGTTACTAGCGATTTTATTAAATATTGTACATTTTGCGAGTTATTTAAATTAAAAACATTTGGCGTTTACTTCAATTTTTTTCAGCGCAACACTGTATCGACCGTCTCATTTCACGCGAAATAGTGCCTACCGTTTACATACCTACATATATATTAATCTGCCATTAGAGAAAGAGTTGTTAGAGTGCTTACTTTTTTATGAATTATTAAATTTTTAGGTTTATTTTAAAATTTCAGGCATCCGCGCTGACGGCACTACCGTTTTTTTTAAGATTGATTTTGGGCACAATATCAATTCAAAGTTACTTCTGGTATAAACAAAACACAAACATCAAAAGATTAAGGCATATAAAGAAGTATTTTATTGTTGTTTGTAAGTGAATTTATTTAAATATCAGTACCCTTACCCCATACACATTTTATAGGAAAACTAGCTGACCTGGCAAACGTCGTTTTGCCATGTATATCATTTATAATAAAAAATAGGGGTTGATCGTAGAGGGGTGAAAATTAGGGGTTGTATGTATTTTTTTATAAAAATAAAAATTTATCTAAAAATTATTAAAAAAAGGGGTGGACTACACTTAACATTTAGGGGGATGAAAAATAGATGTTGTCCGATTCTCAGACATACCCAATATGCACACAAAATTTCATGAGAATCGGTCAAGCCGTGACGCGAGAATTTTATATATTAGATATACCAGTGTTGCTTCTAACTTTGCCCCAGTATCAGTATCAACGTTGTCTACCCGACCGAAAAAATTTTTAAGTCTTAAGACATCAGATTCCTCACGATGATATTTAGTAGGAGCAAATCGAAGTTTAAACAATCGTGGTAATTTAAATCATGGCATCCAATCAGTTATCAGGTAAAAGAGCGCACCACTTATTAAAAGGCCGGCGACGCATTTGCGTGCCCTATGGAAATGTGAGTGTCTATGGGCGGCGGTATCACTTAACATCCGATGAGCTCCTGCCCGTTCGCCCACTGTTACATAAAAAAAGATCAGTTCAGGTTTCGAGTGATTAACAGTAATCATGGTGAAAGACAGTCTCTTTCTGACTCCACGTCTTTGCGCAGTGTTCTGGTTTTTTAAAGAAGTTTTATTTTAATAAAACTTATGTGTAAACCAAGGACAAAATATATGATTTTCAGCGCATGTAATCCCAGGTGTTTTGATATCAACTGCATGGTTGGTACCAATAAATCCTGGGCCTACTCTCCTGACCATCGCTGTAGCATTGACAGCTGCTGGAATGGACCTTACATTAGACATTTGTTACGTAAGTCTCTTCGTTTAGTACACGGGGTATTTCTTGGGTCAATTACTGGCATTAGCCATTATTATTATTATTAATTATTTAGGGTTGATCTACTTCACGGATGAGGTTAATTAATAAATCCATGCAGAGAATATGCTCAAATTCAGTTACAAATTATAAGTACAGAATTGGTGTAAAAAGGATAAAAGTATCAAATTTAAAAAAAAGTATGGAAGCTACTAAACTGAAGTATTTCAATTTTCAAACCAATTCGACTTAGGGTCCTTCAAGAAAGAGCGTGCCAATTTTTTAAAGGCTTACAACGGACTTGCGAATACTCTGGCAATGTCTATCTATGGTTGGATGAAAAAAAAATCATATTCGTCGTTCACTTGATAGTTTTTTATGCAGTCCATTAAGTTCCTTTATTAATTTCCCTGAATTGAACACATAGGTAACGAGCCCATGGATCCACTATCATGAGCTCCTCTAGTAACCGTAATTTTGTGACCCGCAGGAGCGTTTCCCGTCTATAATGTTATTTTGTTTTCAGAAGCTGTCACCGACCTATGTAAATTCGATAAATACAGTTATAAAAATTATCGGAAATTTTCCAGGGATAATTGTACCGTTTTGTGTGGGAGAAGTGACACATAGGTTTAAAGTAATATAAGCTAATAACTTATTATTAAGGATTTAATTAGGTAACACTAATGGAGGCGGTATGCTCTCAGGATAAGATTCAAAAACAGCGCTTAGTCTGACTCCCGTCAAAAATGTATTCGATTTTGACATACGTCATAGTTCACACAGTCTCGTTTCATAATCAATAGTAAAAATCTAGTAGCCTGTCGCACCGTAACCCAGTTTATATAGGCAAGCCTGTGGCGGACACTTGTCGGCCATTTTTACGCTATAGACACAGAAATAAACGACATGTCAGGTGTCGAATGCACGACCTCTAAAATACTTGATAAAGCTAGCTGAAAGTCAATTTTTTTGCTGTTATCTATACGAATATTATAAAGAAGTAAAGTTTATGAGGCTGTAGAAGGTAATCCCTGGGTCTACTGAAGTGATTTGTGAATGGCTATATTTTAACTCGATATATTAAAAGACTTTTGTGGTAGTCGGATTAACTTCGGACGTTCCTTAGGTTCGGTGTCTAAAAGAGATATTCAGTTCTAGAGAAAATTGTATAGCTTCACAATGCCTACAAAAAGTTTGCGAAAACATATTATAAGGCTACATTTAAACTATGCCCTCTAGTTTTACCGCTTAAACTGGTCGTAAGGTTATTTTAATAAGGCTTGAATGTAAAAAAAATGTAGAATCACTCTTGCTTAATCCAGTGCCGATAGTTACAATTGACATTTAATCTCGTTTTACCAGAATACAATAACAGTGTGGAGGTATGTGTGGTCTTTCCATGGGTCAATGCTCCTAATTTGTGGCTGCATATTCCTATTATGGGGTGACACTAAAACACAATCATGGAATAATATACGTCACAGGTGCAAATACTAACAAAATTTTACAATACAACTCTTGACTATGACATTACTTAAATATTATTTTATTTTAGACCTCATCGCAAAACACGGTTAATAATACCTTCCCGTATGTCAAATATATCCGAAGTTGATGAAGATGTAAATTCGTAAGTTTGATCACTATAAAATAATTAAAAATAGGTCTAACTTGAGAGGCTTGCGGATTAAAGATTATCTTCTGCCCATGTAGGACATTTATGAAATATTTTTAACTATAACTATAAAAATAACACAATTTTATATTTTCATAGGATTCGTACATCCACACCTAAACGATCCATTTTACAACTAGTGTCTTCGAAATAAATCAACACCGGACCTCTATTTCTATAAATAAAATCTATGAAACGTACGTAATAAATTACTACGCCATTATCAAAGCATTTTAAATTTCGTGTTACATATTTATTTGACTCCTACCATTATAGTAAGCATACCATATGTTAAATTTTATGAGTAAATTATAAGAAAATAAGCAGTATATATTGAGATACAAGAAAGGATAAAGAAACGTGGAGAACTGAGAAGTCGAAGCTTTACCATGGGCGGGTGTAGAAACTTCTACAATCTGAAATATACAGTAATACATTATTTTGCAATATGATGATAAAAAGATGTGGATTCTTAAATTAACGAAATTGAATTAAAAATATAGTTAATAATAATTATTATTATACTAAAGAGACGAAGAGAAATTGTATATTTCAAAAGTTTATTCGTTATTACTTAAATTTACTATTAAGGATCACACTATGAAACCTTTCTTGTCTGTGGGACCGACTTCAAGAGACTATGCACCTAATCTGTGATTATGAGTGCCATAGAGTAAGTTACAAGTTCTAACTACAATGTACATACTACATAATAAATACATGATACTATATCAAATACTTATTTGGCCTAAAGACCTAGATACCAGGCCATAAACTCCAAAAAAAAACAAATACTTATTGGAAGTTGGAACTGTGTTTTAGAAATTGGGCTGTCTAATTTTGTAGATTGTTTGATAATTTTGTGAGTTTTTCTTGCCATGCCAAGAAGTATCATAGAATACTTTGCGGAAAATGAAAAAAGTAAATGTGGATATTGCAAGAAGCCTGCTTCAAATTATAGCCATGGTATTTGAATAACAGTTGTATCTATTCCAAATAATATTTTTGAATCGACTAGTAATATGGAAATTAATACTTATTTAACAGGATTATGGGCCCATTCATTGTCCGTTTCGGACTACCAAGACCTCATAGACAGAGGCTGGAGACGATCAGGAAAATATTGTTACAAACCAACCTTAGATATTATTTGCTGCCCAATGTATACTATAAGGTTTGTATATCTTTTCTATAAAATAAGTTAAACATTTTTTACCCAATATTCATTTATACCTAAACCTATTTATTAAAGATGCAGAGCTTTAGAATTTAAAGCATCAAAATCACAGAAGAAAGTATTAAAGAGATTTAATAAATATTTAACTGGTGAATATGAGCTGGTGAGCGCTGAAAGGAAAGCATCAAGTTCAAGTGAGGAAATGAATATAGATGAATCTGGTGGTGAACTTTTTGTTAAAAGTACACAGGAGCCACTTAAAATTGATATTGAGGCAGACCTGAAGTATATTGACAGCCCAGATGATAGTAATTGTGAAGGTATTTATCCAATAATCATTATAATATTACAAAAAGGCTTAATTAATATGTATCATTCTTTAATACATTTTAAAGACATATTTATATTTTTAGCACAAGTATATTTGTAATGTTTTATTTGTCAATAAACTATTTCAGATACTGTACAACCATCTAATTCAAATCATATATCAGGGTCAGACAAAATCAAAGTGAATAGTAATACAGGTTAGTATCTAGTACAGAAAATCTGTTGGATCAAAAGTGTTGTTGTAAGAAATGGTATATGCAAATTTTTAGTGATATTAGGTGTGACAGAAGTAAAATCAGTTAATTTTTAGTCTTGTATAAAACTGAAACTACACTACATTTATTACAGAAATTAGATCAGTAAAATAAAATGTTTTGGCTTTTTAATGTCAATTCTGTACATATACTAGCAGACCGGCCAAGCGTTGCTGTGGCTAAGGTTTTTGTTATATTACATAGTAGCAAATTATTCAAGGGAAACGGTAGGAGAACACCAGTCATGGGGACCACCATGCTTTTTTGGTGGTTATGCCATTAAATTGTAGCTTATCTGAAATGTTGGTACTTTCAACACAGCGCCATCTGTTAGAATTGTGACTATCAAATAATAAACAAATATTTTGCAATAAAATAATATTGCGGGTATAAATTGAGATGTAAGCTATCCTATCTTTTAAGTTAGATCAAACTGCACACGGTGTGCAAATTTGATTGATATCGGTTCGGTAGTTTAGGAGTCCATAGCAGACAAAAAACGTGACACGTAATTTATATATATTAAGATATAAAATGAAACAATCTTTATTTTAGAGCAGGGTCCAGATCCTAGTAAACCGTCTTGTAAAAAAGCTAAACAGATGAGAATAGAACGTAAATTAGAAAAACTTAGAGCCCAAGGGAAAGATATGAATATTCTCATGAATACTATAAGTAAAGAGAAACAAATTGAAGACTTTATTAAAGATCTGCCAGAGGAAACTAAAAATAAATTAGAGGTATGGTGAAGGTGGTAATTATGTAAGTTCAATAAGAAAACAATCCTTAGGCTATATACCTAAACTAGACAAATAGCCAATAGTCATCCTTCACCTGTACATTAGATTTCAACTCTTTTTTTTTTGCATATCATAATATTATTTATTTTATATTTAACAAAAGGTGACAAATATCTCTTAGGGGCTGTCCATTAATTATGTGATTTTTTTTTTAAATTTAACCCCTCCCTCTCCCATAGTAATACGTCGTGAGGTTTAAGACTACCCCCCCACCCCCCACCAAAAATCACGTGTTTTAGTACCTACCAAGAATCTTAAATTTATACCGGTATAAAGAAAAATCTAATCCTTTTCTAGAAAATTAAGGACCATGATAAAAATGTCTAGACGGAAAGGTTGCAGGTTGTTTTTGACTGTCATAAAAATAATATTAAAGGAATGGTGTGTATGCGAAAAAAATATATTAAACATGAACATATTTAATGTACATTGCCACAGATTAACAAGACTGAACCACTGATCGATCGTATTTCTAAGCCGCTTTCGGCTTAGAAATCACGCGTTTCACGAAAAAATTAGTACACGTAATATCTTACTATACCCACCCTCCAACTTGTGACATTTCGTGATTTTTGCCGAACCCCTACCCCCCCCTTTCGAACCTCACGTGATTAATGGAAAGCCCCTTATAACCTCTACAATTACTGACACCCCCCGAGCCCTTCTGTCATATCATTTTATCAAATACATATATCAAATGGATTCAATTTGTATTAAAGCATTGGAGAATAGTCCACCCATAGGATGACCCTTTTTATTTGTACTTTACAGATAAAATTAGTTAGAACAACTTCATCAAGTGCGGAATGGACAGCAACAGCCAATGAAACACATGCAGTGTATGTCAAATACCAAATGGCTATTCATGGAGACACTGTTGAGAAATGTACTGAACCAAAGTTTAGAGAATTCCTTGTGCAGAGTCCATTAGTGGTAATTATTTATTTTTATATATATATATATTATTATTATTATTATTACTAAATACAGTGTTCTTTTACGCCATTAAATAAATCTTTACAAATAGTTAAGTACTAATAATATTAACTGGATTGGTAACAATAAATTGATTTTATTCAACTATATAAATATATATCAAAGAAAGTAATAAACTAAGTAAAAATTGGTTAAGTAACACTTAACAGTTTAGTATAACTTATATGTACACTTATAAAAACTTATGGTTCATCATTCATTCCACTGACGAGCTCAGATGTCATAGCTCTCCTTGCCGACACCACACTTGAGGCGAATAGGTCAATATCACAAGTTAGACTATTAAACATACTCGCTTCCCCAACCATAAAGCTGTTCCTTCTGTCATTGGTGTTAACTTTAGGTAAGGGCATTCGACATACAAAACTGTGAACAATTTTTTTTATATTATATGTATATGTAGTGATGTATATCACTGTTATTATATTGTTAGTGTATTACTTATTTCTGTATCGTCAACTGTCTCTGCTATTAGATAAATGCCTGACGTATGTCAAAGGTTTTGGTCAAAATGCCTTATTATTTAAAACTATTCATATTTCAAAGGGGATGTTTAGCCTCTGCTCTCAAGTTAATAAACGTTTTACCTATAATTGACGACTCATTGGTCTAGTGGTTAGTACCCCTGACTGCGAATCCATGGGTACCGGGTTCGATCCCCGGCTGAGACAAACATCGATGTGATGAGCATTTGGTGTTGTGCTTAGGTCTTGGGTGTTTAAATATGTATTTATATGTCTATCTATCTATAATATGTATGTATATCCGTTGCCTAGTACCCATAACACAAGCTTCACCAGCTTAGCATGGGACTAGGTCAATTGGTGTGAATTATCCAATCAAAAAAAAATTGTTTTCAGGAGGAATACTCCGAAGTGGGTCCACCTTGCGGCTATGGTTCCTTCCACCAACAGTACAGGTTAAATGGCAAAATAATAGCAGTTGGTGTATTGGATATATTGCCCAAATGTGTTTCTTCTGTATATTTCTTCTATGATCCACAGTATACAAACCTCACTATGGGCACTTATGGAACATTGAGGTAATTTTTAATAAATCAGTAATACAATTAATACAATTTGACAGGAAGACTCCTTTAGAGTACTTTAGTTAAAAAAGCTATATAGCTGTTTTATTCTATAGGAATAAACATAAGAATCTCCATAACCTTTGTTCTAATGTTTTTTTTACTTAATTTACTATACAGATATTAAATTGATCTATTGTATCCTGTTATTATAATCTTAATATATATAAATTACGCGTCAAGTTTGTCCGCTATGGACTCCTAAACTACTTAACCGATTTCAATCAAATTTGCACACCGTGTGCAGTTTGATCTAACTTAAAAGATAGGATAGCTTACATCTCAATTTATACCCGCAATATTATTTTATTGCAAAATATTTGTTTATTATTTGATAGTCACAATTCTAACAGATGGCACTGTGTTGAAAGTATCAACGTTTCATAAGCTACAATTTAATGGCATTATCACCTAAAAAGCATGGTGGTCTCCATGACTGGTGTTCTCCTACCGTTTCTCTTGAATAGTTTACTACTTTGTAATATAACAAAAACCTTAGCCACAGCAACGCTTGGCCGGTCTGCTAGTATGTTATATATTATTACATTTTAACAGTTCACCTATTATTTAAATCAATTTGAAGGAGATATAAGGTCATTGATGTTCAATAGTAATATAAGTACTCGGGATATGAAACTATTTTTTTTTTTCAGAGAGATTGAATTTACGCGTCATCTCCATTTAATATGTCCTGAACTAAAATACTATTACATGGGCTTCTACATACACTCATGTAAAAAAATGAGATATAAAGGCGCGTTCACACCGTCGGACCTCCTTTGCCCCGAGACCTACAATTGGTTCCCAATAAAGGACTGTATACCCAAATTAGAACAATCCCCATACTCAAGACTTGATCCGGACTTGAGAAGAGTTGATGGGAATATACCAAGTGAAAGTGATATTAATTTTATCCCGGTTTTGTGTAAAAGTCAATTGTTGTCATATAAAGTGTATCGGAAGAAAGCGGGAAAGCGGAATGATGATGCTCAAGAAATATTACAGTATGCAAATTTGGTTGGAGCAAAGTGTGCTAAAAGCTTGATTTTGGTTAGGTAATTAATTTATTAGTAAATATTTTGTGGGTACTTAATTGTTCATATTAGTTAATTCGAAAATTAAAAGGCCATCACCAAGTTTGTGCATTGATAGCTGAATATAAAAAAAATTGTGTGTGCTTGCATCCTTTTTGTTAAAAAGATTCATCATTTTAATTTTTCAAATGTTTTAATCA